AACTGAAAACACGTGTCCACACAAAAATGTGTAGAAGAATGTTCATCATAGCATTATTCATAATAGTACAAAAGAAGAATAATCGAAATGTTCATTAATGATGAAAGGCTTAAAAAATTTTGGCATAAGGGCCAGCCAGTTAGTTCGGTTGGTTAGAGTGTGGTGCTGTTAACATCAAGGCCCAGGATTCGATTCCTGTACCAGCCAACCACCACCGCCTCCCCCCTTCCCCCCAAAATGTGACATAGCCATACAATGAATGCTATCTGGCCATTAAAAAAAAATGAAGTACTGATACATGCTACATGGATAAACCTTTAAAACATTATGCTAAGTGAAAGAACGCAGTCACAAAGAACCACATATAGTATGATTTCACTTACACAAAATGTGTAGAATAGACAAATCTATGGGGACTGAAAGTAGGAGGTATATTATTACCTTTCCAAATTAAATTTTTTAGTGCACCAGTAAGATGCAATTAAATTATTTTTAAATGATTGTTGTTCATGTATTTACATGCTATGTCTTTCTAAATCCCAACATTCTTTCCCTAAAATATTTTTTAAAGCACTTGGAAGCACAAAAGCATGCTAAAGACCGAAGAGAACAGACATAGAATTTTAAATGGTTAAGGAAAACTCATATAAAACTCAGAGACAGAAAACCAATTTATCTTTGTTGAATGCTATCAAATGACCAAAATTCCCTTTGTTAAATAAAAATTATAAGAGGCCATTGATTTGAACTGAGTTCCTGCAATAGGCCCCCCAACAGACCAGACTAAAAAAAGTCAATGTGGAGTCACCCCTGCAAAGTCACCAAACCTAAACTAAGTTGAGAAAGAGATTAACAGCCAATTTCCCAAACAGGCTGGTTTAAACTTCAATAGGCATGATAATGAAGTTCCTCTGCTTCAATACTTCTACAAAAGAAGTAAGCTGAGATCATGTGATGTTAAATAACCAGTTACTTTTCTATTGTTCTGTCTCCCTGTTCCCACCTTGTAAGGAAAGTACTCTTTGAAATGACCAATCTGTTTCTGTTCTTTGTTTCTGATATATTCAGCCTTTTTTTCTTTTTGGTCTATAAAGTCAACCTCTCTTGCTCAGCTCATTGCAATAATACTTCATAAAATGAAGTGTTGCCTGATTCTAGAATCACAATAAAGCCAACTGAGATCTTTAAATTTGTTGTAATTTTTTCTTTGGACACCTTCAAGTTAAATTTAGGTCTTCTTTAGAACTGGAAATTACTACAACTGATTAAACTTTAATTTGCAAATTATCTGTATATTTACAAAGGCAATCAATCATAAATGTAAAGCTGAAACTCACTAGACTTTACATTACAGTAAACAATGTTAAACTAAATGGAACAAATACTTAAAATATTTCTTGGAATAGTAGAAATAGCATAACTTTGGAGTCAGATACATGGGTTTGAATCTTAGCCTATTTACCAGCTAGGTGATCATCAATAATTTACTTGGTCTCCATGGCAGTCAGTTCCCCCTTCTGTTAAATCAGGAATTACGATACCTACCTAGTGTGGAAAGAAATACTAACGTAAAGAAATACTCCAACTATTTACTAATAGGTAGAGGGGTTGAATAATTCACTTTTTGAAAAATATATGTACTGTTTGAATTTTTCTACTTGTAAGTAATTTTAAATGTAATGAAGATTTGGGCCGGCCCGTGGCTCACTCGGGAGAGTGCAGTGCTGATAGCACCAAGGCCACGGGTTCAGATCCTATATAGGGATGGCCGGTTTGTTCACTGGCTGAGCCTGGTGCTGACAACACCAAGCCAAGGGTTGAGATCCCCTTACCGGTCATCTTAAAAAAAAAAAAAAAAAAAAAAGTAATGAAGATGTAAAAAATAAAAACATCTACTTTATAGAGTTCTCGTGGAGCCTTTTTTTTTTTTTTAATGTTTTTTTTTTTTTTCTTTTCTTTTTTTTTTTTTTTTTGTGGAGCCATTTTGTAAAATGCCAGGTTTTTGTTTGGTTTGGTTCCGGTTTATTTATTTATTTTTTTTCTTTTGGCAGCTGGCCTGTACAGGAACCCAAACCCGTGACTTTAGTGTTAAAAGGCTGCGCTCTAACCAACTGAGTTAACCAGCCAACCTCATTTTGCAAATAACCACTTAATAAAAAATAATTGCCACAGCTCTATTCCTCACCCCCTCCAAAGCTTCTTGAATTCCACCTTCTTGAATTAACGTGAACAAACCACAGAAGAATCAAAGTTAAACACTGATTGTCCTGAAGGCTACAGTTATCAGGAAAGGCATGAACAAGGAAAACAAAACTAAGCTTTTAAACCACTTTCCTCAAAACATACCAAAGAACTGAATCTGAAAAGAAAAACATTTCCATATGTTTACTGATGCTAATCACGTTATTCTGAAACTTTGTCAGGTTTTAGGTGGTTCTTTTGCAACATAAAACGGTAAAATGATAATGCTGTCAAGTGAAAAGGAAATTTGGTACCTTAATCTTTCCACCATCAAGACATCAAGGATTCAGGTCAGAGAATATTTTTCACTGAAAAACACAACACAAATATAATTAATGACTATCATTTATTTAGCAAATAAGGTGATAAGCTCCATCTATAAGGAAACAAAGTGCTTTGGGAGTACACTGAGACAGCTGAATGTAATTTAAGTGATCCATGTCACTTTTTACAGAATATTGTAAGAATTAAGAACCTTCCCTCCCATATTCTAATAGATGAATAAACTGGATATGTTAAGAAGCGGTAGTTTAGCAGCTGAAGATAGCGCCACCCTAAAACCAGCGAAGCACACCGAAACCGCTAACGCTGCCAACCAGCGTGCGGACGCTCGCAGTTAGGACTGAGTCCCCACAAGCACCTAACCCACCGCGTTTGCCACCACGTACGTGTCAGTGAACAACCCAACCTTCCCGGAGCTTGAAAGCGACCGAGGGGAGGGGACAGCCAGGTAGGCAGGACCATTTATCTAATAAATGCACGTCTGAGAAGGAATTTCCTGGGGGCTTTATTGCATTTCTACAGTTTCCTCATCTTATTTTAGACCATTTCAAGAACATGCTTCTGACAAGGGGAAGCAGAGTCAGTCAACGTCAGGGAGACACAGTGATTTGATAAGTACTTTATCCCAGCGTGGTCGAGCTTATGAATGGAACAGAATTAAAACCTTGGGTGGGGAAGCGTGCCCCAGCCCCCAGGCCTTCTCCTCTCCAGTTCCGGCAAGCCACCTCATGGGCCCAACTCCAGCGGACGAGGCCACGCTTGCAGCCGGCCCTTCAGCCGCCGCTGCTGCGTCTCGCTTTTCGGCCCACTTCCCGGGGCCCCGCGACTCCCGGCCCCGGCCCGGGGGTGGCCGCCCCTCCCGAGGGCGCGCGGGCGGAAAGGAGGAGCACCCGTGACTCACGCGCCCCGGGCCGGAGGCCAGACCGCCTGCCTCGCCCCGCTCCCGGACTCGGCCTCTCAGCGCCTTCCCGAGGGACTTTACATTACAGTA